AATCTAGAAGGATCTTCTCTTTATGCTCTGTACCCTGAAATGTTGTAAGGATGGCAATATGGTCTTGCAATATGAAAACTCAACCCTTTAGTTTTGGAAATTTTTCTTCAATTATTTGGCTAGGAGTTTTCTGTTCTCTATTCTTTCTTTCTTTTAAGAATCCCCCTTATTTGGATGTTGCATGTCCTGCTATTTTTTTCCCTCTACTGAGTTTTTCTTTGTTTTGTTTTTTTTCTTGAATTTTATCTTCTGACTCTTCTACTGAGTTTTAAATTTCAGATATTATGCTTTTAACTCCCAAGAGCCCCCTTTATAATTTTTAGAGTGTTCCTTTTAAAGACACCATCTAGTTATTTCATGTGGTTTTGCTCTAGTCTCTTAACTCAGAATATTGATGGAGTGGGGATTTCTTCTCATTGCACTTTTTTCTTCTAAGTTGTTTTACTTTCGTTTTGGTTTGGTCTTTCATCTTTCCTCAGATGTCCCAAATTCCTTGTTTTCTGCTCATGTGAGTCAGGGAATGATTAGAAACTTTGAACTTGTGAGTGGGACTTGTTGACCATGGACTTCTTTGGAGAGTGGTTAACTGGGCCAATTAATGGAGGAACCTCTGATACCTGCGCCTTTAGAACCTCTTCAGATTTTTGTAGAGACCATGCGCATCTGCTGCCTGGAAGGGGAAGACCTGACGCCAGATATCTGGGAGCCATGTGAGGGAAACACATTTATGCACCCAATTTCCCCGCTCTCAGTCTCCTCTTGCCTCTGATGTGTTTGATACACACTCAGATCCTGCTCCATCCTCTCCAGAGAATATATCTCCGGCCTTTGCCCAGTTACAACGCCAAAGAGGAGAAGTGATCCAGGAATCTAAATCTTAAGCAGACTTTAACCAAACTTTCCTGATTTTTCTCCAGGGATACCTGGTATACCTGATAATTTCAAACAATCCCTTTGCAGTCAACTTAGAAGAGTTTTGGGGAGGGAGTGAAGGAGACGCACTGACTCCATCTGTCTCCCTCTTGGTAGCTTCTGGTCTAGGACAACAGTTTCAAGGCTGTTTTATGCAGTGGAGTCCTGTCTTTAACTGAAACCTTATGCAGGAACTCAGGCTATGAAGTAGATCTAAACGGAGCAGCTCTGATTGAAGAGGGGATGAGGGCTGCTTTCTCAGCTCTCCTGCTCTTTTATCACTGTGAGAACCTCCGGGAAATCATAGCTTGTACATCACTGATTTCGAAGTTGTTGAACACGTTTCATCCCTCTGGTAGACGGTAGACATTTGAGTGATGTTTTTTCATAATGGAAGGAACATTTTTTTTTTTTTCACTTAAGAGATTTTTATTGCTTACAATTTTTCAAATGGTATCAGGCATTACCAAGGTAGGCCTTACCAAGGTAAAAATACTTGGATTGGAATGAAATTGGACTCTGAACCTCCTTAGAGACTGAACTTATAGTTGCAAAATAACTTAAAAATTAAATATTTGAAAGTGTGTAAATTTACCTGCACATTAACTGATACTTAACTGTACCTACACATTTTGATAATTTGAGGATGATGGAAATTCCCAAATTACTTTCAGAAAGCTGAAATTTGGTTTATACTGCATTGCTATTAGATATACTGTTTTATCCAAAATTATTTACTTGAATATATGTGAGAGGAGGTCTGTGGGGCTTATTCTATATGGGAATTATTACTAAAGTTCCGCATGACTTAGCTTACTATTTATGTGCCGTGTGACCATTGAAACCTTGTTATTTTATCCCTCCTCCACCTCTCTCTGGCACAAACCATCAGTTACCTGAGGATGGAAGAATATGGCAGGTTTCACACATAGCAGATGGCTCTAAGGTCCAGTGGGAAATGCATGTCAAACTTTACAACCCCTGGCAAATGAAATGTATGTTCCATGTCTCTAAAGTGACCCCATGTGGTTTTTTTTATGTCATCAAGAAAGAAAAAAAAAAAGAATAAGCAGAAATCAAAATGTAGAGAACCAAAGTGAAGGATGTGAGTGTGTTTTCAGAATCACCCACTTGGAATCTGATCTGTTGGCACTTGTTTGGCACTAGAGTCATTTCACAGAGGACTCCGGCATCATGCTAAAAAAATATTGCCAGTTGTGCTACAGAAAAGCATCCGTCAGCTTGATTTGCAGGCATGAGACACCTTTAGAAAAGAAAACCATGACCCAAACTCCTCTGAGAAACACCTCATATTTTGATTGGAAGGACTCTTGAGCACAACTGAGGCATTGTTCTGCTGTGAACTCACTTTGGAAGGGTACGGGAACCTTCTATGACCAGTCCATGAGGCACGCAGTGGCGGATGGAGAATGAGCAGCTGCCTGAGGAAGGGCCCTCTCCCAAACTTCTTTCAGAAAAGTGTTGCTTTTTTATTTTGCTTTTGGGTGAAGCTGGTCAAAAGGCATGAAGACATTAAACAACTTGTTTCTAATTATAAAAATAATTACGTCCTGGGGATGTCATGTGCGGCATGGCAATTACACGTAATAACACCGTATTCCATATTTGAAAGTGGCGGTGAGACTAGGTCTTGCAAGTTCTCACCAGGAGAAAATGAATATAAACAACTCTCATAGGGATATCTGTGCCAATGTGGAATCACCATGCTGCCCACCTGAAACGAATCAATGCTGTAGGTTGATTGTATCACAGCTGAAGTGGTGGGGACAAAGAGGAGACTGTTGGCATGGTTGGAAGGATGCATTTTGCAGAGCTGTCATCTCTACAAGGTTGAGGACGGGTCATGAGAAGGTGGGTCCTGGCCAAGTGCACGCTTTGATGACTGTGCAAGTCACAGAGGCTGCCTGTGAGCACACACGGGATCGTCCCTGGTTCCATGCGACCGCAACAGGGCGTGTGCACCATGGCCTCAACTTGCTTCCTGATGACAGCATGAGGCTGGCCTTTTGCCAAAGGATTCTGAGAAGAGAGAGCCAGGATGTTGTGAAACCTGCAGGAGCCACTCACTCATGCATGCGGTTGTGCTAAGAAGCCAGAGGAAACACATGAAGCTCAAAAAGTCTCTGAGGCTGGGCTGTGAAACCGTTGGTCAGGCTGGGTGATCTGCTGTGGACAGTGTCTTGAGAGTTCAGCAAAGAGGAAGCAGCTCTGCAAGCACGTGCTGTGTCCGAGAGGGGGGCCTCCCCTTCCTGAGGTCTCCTCTGTGGCTGTCTATCCTTATTCTTGTTTCTTTTCCATTATTCACACATGGACCTCCCATATGTTGACTCTTGAGAGACACCATGTAGAGGGGTCCTTGGGGAGACCACAGAGAGGGGCGTCTTGAGGGAGACCACGTAGGGAGTCTTTGGGGGAGATCATGTAGAGGGGGGCCTTGGGGGAGCCCATGAAGAGGGGGAGGCAAGTCCATTTCCTGCGAGTGGTCATGGACGAGGTCCATGTGACTTCAAGACCTTAGACATCTGAAGAGGCCAATCCCTCCCCTGCTTTCCAGCCACTCTTCTCCCTGCTCCCCTCCTCTCTCCCTCATTCCCCCTTTTCTTGTCTGATTTGTGTCTTCACAGACATTCCTGCCTTTTGCTGCCACCTTAAGTGGATCTTTCCTCTTGGTTGCCCAAGCCTGGGCTGGCTGACCAGAGCCCATCTCAGTCTGTGTGGTTTCTGGGGGAGGCAACATGCAGCACCTGGAAATCGCTTTATAAATGGCAAGGTGACCTCACAGTTTGGCTGTTAACTGCTTTAGCGGGGTGGCTCATCCTACATACAGGGGCCCCTCCCGCGGGCTTTGTTCCCAGCTTTGTTCTGAGCCCTCTGCCAGCCCACCAGCGCTGGCTCCTGCTGGGGAGCCCATTCTGGGTGAGAGCTCCTGTTTCCTCTTCTCCCTCTTTTCTGTTCTTTCATCTTGACCTATGAGCCCTTCTGAGGGGAAAAGGCTGTCCTAAAGCTATATCCATACAGGCTTTGTGGACTCCACCCCCACCCCAGGCCAAAGCCAAAGGCACTGGGAACTCCACATCCCATCCCCACCCAAGGGAAGGTGTCTGGGACCTGAGGGTGGGGTTCAGCAGCCAGGTTGGTATAAAGGCAGACACGTGGGCTTTGGGGGGGGGTCCCCCATTTTGGCTCTCCGCCAGCTCGCAGCGTCTGGCCAGCTCTGAGAGTGCCTTTGGGTTTCCAGGTCGGCGGATCGGGTAGGACGCATTAAAGACTTTATTTCCCTATTTTCTCCCTGAGGTGTACATTTTCCTTATTTCCTTTTCCCTTGTAAATAAACCTTTTATGAACCTTTTGTGTGTGTCTGTAGTGGAGTATTCATAAGTCCCTTGTAAGCGCGCGGGTGAGGACCCACAGCCAGGAACCCGTTCAATATCGGGGCTGCCCTACAACAATTCCGTGTCTGAGCACACAGACACTAACATGTTCACGCTTAACAGGTTTATTGTGAACATGTCAGGGAAATTCACATTTGAACTAAACTCCCCTAACTCCAATAGGGAAACTGCCAGTGACATTTTAAGCATCAGCAGGGGTCAGGGGCGGGGGTGAGGACTGGGAGGTTCGCCTTTTCTCAGTGCTTCCGAGAGCTGAGCAGTGGGTGACGTCTTACTCCCCACTCCAGAGGGGGGCCTTAACAGAATGTGCACAGGCCAATGCACAAAATATGAGCCCAGGACATGAAGGTCAGGGGAGGTGTGTAAGGCATGGAAAGGGGGCATTTTGAAAGGAAAATTTAGCCGAGAAATAGTAGTTAAGATACAAAGTGTAGAATATGCATATTTCAATCGCCCCTGAAACCTTATTCTCTTAACGCCCCCACATCTGGCTCTGAGAAAAAGCAGGCAAATCCAGGGTATGCAAACACAGTTAGTGTCATTGAGCCCACAGTGATTTGCATGTAGCCTGGGAGGTGACTAGTGTCCTCTTTTCCAATCCCAAGAGACTGGGGTGTTCGTTCTTGTCCGAATCCAGGGGAGCAGGAGCCAGGTCTGAGCTCCTCCCTGGAGGCGATGCCCTCCTCGTCCATGCTGACCTTCATGGTGGTCTTTTTCCTGGAGTCCTTGGCCGCCATGTTGCAGAATGGATTCATGGCGGCTGTGCTGGGCCTGGAGTGGCTGCGGTGCCGGACACTGCCCACGGCCGACCTGATCATAGCCTGCCTGGCCGTGTCCCGCTTCTGCCTGCACGGGATGGCCATCTTGAATGACCTGCTGGCCTTCTTTGATTCCAAAATGAACTATTTCAATGTTCCCTGGGACTTTATCAACACCCTCACCTTCTGGCTGACGGCCTGGCTGGCCATCTTCTACTGCGTGAAGATCTCCTCCTTCTCTCACCCCATCTTCTTCTGGCTCAAGTGGAGGATTTCACGGTCAGTGCCCAGGCTGCTGCTGGGCTCCCTGATGGTATCTAGTCTGACCATCAGCAACTCGGCCATTGGGAACAGAAACCTCGCGTCCTTGATGGCGTCCCACGGCGACCATGGGAACACCACCCTGGCCGATAGGATATGGACTTTCCATCTCTGCTTCTTCCTTCCCAGTTTTATGCTTCTGACATCAATTCCCTTCTCCCTGTTCCTGGTGTCCATCCTCCTCCTCATCTTCTCTCTGCACCGGCACCTGGGCCAGATGAAGAGCCACGGGTCCTGCCAGCGTGATCCCAGCACCCAGGCCCACATTGCAGTCCTGAAGTCTCTCTCCTTCTTTCTCATCTTTCACACCTCGTACTTCCTGTCCCTGATTGTTGTGACAACGGGAATCACCACCTTCCAGAATCCCTGGCACTGGGCCTGGGAGGTGGTGACATATGCGGGCCTCTTTCTGCACTCCGGCACCCTGGTGCTCAGCACACCCAAGCTGAGGAAGGCCCTGAAGACCAGGCCGTGGAAGGCCCTGCTCAGGGGGTGACTGGTCTGCACTGATCTGTATCCGTGACCAGCGTCAGCGGCCCCGCCCACGAGTGGGGGGACTGCCTGGGTTTGGGGATGATCCTCTCCTTACATTCCTTCTTCCTTTCATGCTCTCCCCATGCCCCGGCAACTCTTTTCCATCCTCCTCATTCCTTCCATCTCCTCTGATGTTCTGGGCCCTTAATCTGGATCCCCAAAGCACCTTAGACTAGGGTGGGGGGGCCTCTCTTACCCTGTATTCAAGGAACCCCAATAAAGTTCTCCAAGCATTGCCGAGGCCTGTACTCCCTTTCCAGAATCCCGAAACGGTTGTCAGTGTCTTCTGCGGTCAACCTGAAGTTTTATTTTTTATTTATTTTTAAAGATTTATTTATTTATTCAAACAAGCACTGGGTACAGTCAGAAGCGCGGGAGGGTGAGAGAATTCACCAGAGCCAGAGCGGGGAACAGAACAGGCAGAGTGACGAAATACACTGCTGAGGGGAGCAGCAGGCGGCAGGAGAGGTCTGCGCGCCATGTGGGACCCTTGCCCCGTGGCTGGCCGGGGATCGAACCGGCGCTGCTGAGGCTGCGCGCAGCTTCGCAGCCCAGCGCTCAACCGCTGCACCACCAGGGGAAGCCCCTGAAGTTTTATTTTTTAATGTGTCCCACACCATCCCGCCACGCCACTTCCCTTTCTCAGCCCACTAAAGTGACTTTCTACACCCCGCACCCTCTTCTCTCTTGTCTGTGGTCCGTTGGTCCATCCGACAGGTCCTTATTTCCTCTCCCTGACACCTTTTTCAATCCCTTCTTTCGTGTTCGACTCCAGGCCCGTTCCACCCCTGGAGCTTTTTCAGTTCACCCCCATGGAATGTTGAGGGTGTGCATGAGTTTTGCGCCAGTGTTGGTCCATCGGTGATTTTATGTGTTCTCTGTCAGTTGAATTAAAGAGTTGTCTGCTGTGGAAATGCTTCTGGCCCACAGACGATAGAGAAGGAAAACAAAGGCAATTCACACAGTCTTTAACTTGGATGATTCAACTCTTCCTGTCTGATCACTCTGGAGCTGGACTGTGGAGGCCGATGTCTAAGACGGTGGTTTTCAGACTGGGGTGTTTGCATCCCGGGGTGTGTGCAAAATGACCCACTGGATGGAAGAAGAAAAGTGAGGCGCCTGCCGCTTGCGTTTGTTTTTGTCTCGTCCTTTCAGTTTCTATTTGTTGGGGTCATTTTATGATGCACATAAGGTGTTAAATAGTACATGCATGTTTATAATTAAAATAAATAAATATGCATATAATAGAATGCATGTTTGTAATTAAAAAAAAAAAAGGATGGAGGGACTCCCTGGTGGTGGAAGGGGTTAGGGCTCAGCACTATGAAGCTGTCCTCAGCTACTGCAGCCTGAGTTGGATCCCCGGCCAGGGAGCTACCCACATGGCGCAGCAGACCTCTCCTCTCTCCCCGCTGCTCCCCTCAGCAGTGTATTTCAGTACGTCTGCCTGTTCTGTTCCCCACTCTGTCTCTGGTGAATCCTCTCATGGCCCCCCAACCCTGCACCTCTGGCCTACACCCCAGCTCTTGTATGCATAAATAAATAAATCTTTAAAAAAATGGATGGAGTTCACTATGAATGAAGCATAAAGACCAACAGATTAGCAGGGATTAGGAAAAGCACCAGGCGTGGTGAGAGAGCTAGTCAAAATAGGAGCAGAAAAATAACAATAACAGAGGTTACAAAGAATTTTCAAGTTAATAACTATTGTACAATGTGTTGTCTTACAGTCCTGGAAGCTGAGCCCCTCACCCCACACCCCCCAGCACATTGTTATAATGTGAGCTGGAGGCTGACCTATGGCAGGAGGAGCAAGAGAGGCGCAGAGATGAGCTAAGAGGGTGAGGCCTTTTCGCTTGGACAAAGATGAAAGCGTTCAAAAAGGAGAGCCCCAAATTGCTGGAGAGGAGCACGGGGGATTCCCCAGAGAGCAGAGAGAGGGGAGAGCTGGATAGGGGCACCTGGGAGGCTGATTCCATCCTAAGGAGATTTTCTGCTTTCTTTTTATGCAGGAGTGTGAGTGAGCAAATGTCTTCCTCCACGGAGGGAGATACTAAATTGTGGGGCCTGAGACTTGAGGCTCGAGCCATAAGAAGACTGGATAGAAGCAAAGGCAGGCACATCAGCAGCCTCCTCTGTCCCTTCCACTCCAGTGGAAGCATGTGGAGGACTACCCTTCCCTGAATGGTGCTCCAGTTTCACTTGTATGGTGCTCCAGGGCATTTCCTTTTTTTCTTTTTTGTTTTTAAGATTTAATTTTATTTATGTATCTAAGAGCTGGGGTGTGGGAGGTGAGAGGATTTACCAGAGATAGAGCAGGGTGCAGAACAGGCAGATCAACCAAAGTACACTGCTGAAGGGAGCAGCGGGCGAGCCAGGAGAGGTCTGCTGCACTATGTGGGTTGCTCCCTGGCTGGCTGGGGATGGAACTTGTGCTGCAGAGGCTGCGGATTGCCCCATAGGTTGCGTCTTAACCCCTTGTGCCAGCAGGGAGGTCCTCCAGGACATTTCTGAAGGTCTTGGGTGGGGAAGGCATAGGGAGACTCTGATGCTTTCTAACATTTTCACAGTATTTGAGTTATGCCCATCTAGAGGGCTCATCAGGAGTTCTTAATTGGTTGATAGTCTCAAGCTATTTTTCCTAGGATCTAGTTCAGAAGAGTTTCAAAATATTTGGTGGTTCCATCTTGCCCAAAGACACAACTCCTATCTTACCTTTACTCTCAAGACTCATGGTGATCTTTTCCCAGCCTCTGTTTTCACACTTATGTGAAGCCTCTGCTGGGGCCAAACTTATTCCCTAGACACCATCACACTTCTATGTCTCTACAGAAGCTATGTTGTCTTCTCTCCAACACACCAGATGCATCTCTGCTGTCCCATAATGAAGGGGAACTGCTGTGGAGCTTCCTGAGAATTGTAGGGGTGACACTAGGATGACTCATGGCATTCAGAACCACAGCCCAGGAGCCCTCCTTGTCCCTCCCTCTGAGAGAGAACTGAATTGAGTGTTTCCCATCTAGGGAACTTACTCAGGTTCCTACCCTACAGCCCTCATCATTGCACCTATGAAGACCAGCTGTCAAAATCTTTAAAATTTTCAGCCTTGGATTCCACTGAAGAAGAGAAATCTGAATAAGAGAAAGCACGATGCCACAAACAAAAACAACAAAAGACTCCCCATGAAACACCACATATTTAAATATGAGGGATTATTCACCCCTTCGATTTAACTTACTCTGCACATAGCACATGCCCAGCCAGTGTGTGTGGCTTATGATCAGTGCGTGAGTGCCATTCCTGGGCAGAGACTGAGCTCCTGGTTGGCGCTCCAGTGCCTTTCCCAGGGCCACCGTGACATATAGGAGATGCTAATGGACTTGATAGATGAATTGAGGGTGAACACCTACCTTATTGCATGAACCATGGCAGATGTAGGGAGTATCTGGGAGACAGGACTTTTCCATATTGAGGGGTTTGCAGCTGGCCAGACTGCAGAGATGTGAGTCAACTTTGTTCCACTGCTCCAAGCAGGAAACTGTCCAATGTCAGCCAGAGAAACAGGGCAGGGAGAGCAGATGGGGACAGGATCCCTTGGAGATTTGCATCTTCATGGAAAGGCAGATGACTGAGTTACCTCAGTGCTCTCCTTGACCTGAGACCGTTGTCCTAGAGTTCTGCATCCCATTCTCTTTGGGGAGTTCTATGCATGGAGCTGCTGGCCAAGAGTGAGCGTACTATGAAACACTCCCTCCCTCACGTGACTTCATCCTGAGCCTTTCCTCCTGCTGCATCTGACCCAGAACGATTTCGACTTGCCCAGCTCCCAGCGACACGTTCACCCAGACAAGTCAGCACTCACCTGGTCGCTGAGCTTTTAAAAGCTCCTTGAACCTCACTCCTGTAGAGAAGGTAGTCACTACTCACTACGCTTTCCTCTGGAAGAAGTAGGTGGTCCTGGAGTGCCCTGCAGCTCCCCTCCACTCCCTCCTCCCCATGCTCTCCTGAATGCTCCTTGGAGTACTTGTCACGCAGAGGCTGGAGAGGAAGATAATGCAGTGACAGCTGTCATCATCACCCTCACTGCTTCTTAGGCTTATGCAGAGACTTAGAGTTTCCAGAGTGCATATGTGTGAGAAATCACACATCTTCAGGTGAAGAAGAGGTGTGCAGAGAAATTCAAAGACTAACCTGAAGACACACGATCGTGGTTGTGACCAGACTCAATAGCCACTCTTCTGACTTCAGTGGGGGATAAAGAAGATGGCAGTCGACATGCCGGGCTGGCTGTGGCACTTGTCTCTGGTCCTGAAACCAGGTGGGTCTTGGCCTTTCCTCCTGTGACATTAGGTTGAGTCCATCTCTGATTTGAGGCCTCACTTCTCTCATCTACAACGTTATTGCAATGTCATGTGTGCTCAAAAAACTGAAATTCTAGCGGTAAATTCCAGTTTAATCCGCTGAATCAGCACAGATGATACTTTTCACATCTTACAAATGGAGAAACTGAGGCACACAGGGGCTAGCTAACATAGCCACAACACACCCTGAGAAGTGGAACTTGGGTGAACGACTATGTTGATTCTCCCTACCACAGCCCACTGGCTCTATAGCTACTCAGGGCAGCTTCCTCAGGAACTTGCCACTTTCAAGGTCTCTACTTAAAAATCATTGTAAAAACATGCAGCAGCCTGATGCTCTACAAGTGTCCCCTTTGTCTGCAGTTAATCGTGACCGTGACCACAAGTAATAGGATTTGAATGAAACTCTCTCAGCAGGTTTTGCTCTGCTTTTCCTCTGGCTGCCACAGGTGTATTCTCGAAGCATCTACTTCAGGGTCCGTAAAGCCCTGGATGCGTGGAGAACACAGAACAGCGCCTGCCCCCTCCCAGACGCACGCTGACTGTCCGCCGGGGTGCCTGGGTGCATTTGCTCAGAGGCAGGTGTGTGGTCCTGTCGTAG